AGATCAAGGCGATCACCGACTGGCCTGTGCCAGTCGATGTCAAAGGTCTTCAAAAATTCCTTGGACTAGCGGCGTATTTGCATAAGTATTCACGCAATTACGCCGAGATGACTGTACACCTCTCTCGTTTGTTGAAAACTGGAACGCTGAATGCCAGCGCTCCTTTGATGGTACCAAGCAGAGCTTGATACAATCCCCAGTCCTAGCACTTGCCGATCAGGACAGGTCATTTCATGTGGTCTGTGATGCCAGCGATTTCGCAATCGGCTGTGCATTAATGCAGTACGATCTTGAAGGCGTTGAACGCGTCGTCTGCTATCAGTCGCGTCAGCTGCAACCAGCTGAGCGGAACTATTCAGCGAACAAGGAACGCCTTGCCATGAAGTATGTACTCGCGAATTTCAGAGTCTATCTATTAGGAGATAGACCCAAACCACAACGACTTAATGTCGTCGCTGATGCACTCTCACGTCGTCCCGACTTTGAACCAGTCGTGAAACCCAACAGTGAGGCAGTCACTGTTGCGGTTATGACGTCCTCAATACCATCTTCAACGTTGTATGATGATGTGAGGCGGGCATGTGCCCAAGATGGTGAGATTGTGAAGCTGTTGACACATCTCTCACAGCCATATCGAGAATCGTTGAAACGATTGTCGTCTGCGTATCGATCTGCATCAGATCGATACACTACTCGCAACGGTTTACTGTATTATACAGCCGTTTCTGGTGACACACCACGTGTTGTCATTCCAGATGATACTGATCTGCGTTTGCGGATCATGTTCGAGTATCGCGATGCTCCTATAGGAGGACATCGTGGCCGTGAGAAAACATATCTCACGGTGAGTCGAGACTTTTACTGGCCCCGCCAGTATCAGTTTGTGCGCAAGTACGTTCGCGCATGCAAAGTCTGCCAACGAGTGAAGTCAAGTCCTTCACTGCGTGCACCTTTACAGCCTCTACCGGTTCCGGCTGAGTGCTGGGAATTCATCATAATGGATTTTGTCTTTGGGTTACCCAAAGACGCACGCGGGAATACGGGTATTCTCGTATTTGTTGACAGATTCAGCAAAATGGTACACCTTGTGGCTGTACCAGAGCCAATCACAGCAAGTGGCTGTGATTGTGTCTTTATTGACACCATCTTCCGGCTTCATGGGTTGCCCCGTGAGCTCGTATCAGACAGAGATCCACGATTCACTGCTAATTTCTGGCGTTCCGTGTTCAAATCACTCGGAACGCGCTTGAAGATGTCTACATCTGATCATCCAGAGTCAGATGGTCAGACGGAACTTGCCAATCGTGTACTCGAAGAGATACTTCGAGGATACGTACACTCGTTTAAGAGTTGGAGTGAGTTCTTGCCAGTGGTAGAGTTTGCCATTAACAACTCGGTGCATGCGTCCACGACACATACACCGTTTTACGTGAATGGCTTACGCCATCCGCGTGCACCCACTTTACTAGAGTGTGACTCTGGTTTAAGGGGGGGAGGGACTCGCGCGAGCGAAAACCAATTTGGTTCACGCTCATCACGCTTTGACTAAGAGGTCATTGCGTTTGATGCCGATATCGATAACATCGATATCGAAGAAGATGATGCCAGTGAGAGTGCGGAAGCCCTCACTGAAGAAAAGATTGTTGTCGCTGCAGTGCACTCACAGCGCACTGAAGCTAACGAGCCAGCAGATGAGTTCATACTGGCTCGTGAAACGGTAGTCCGTTTTGTGCAAGACTCCATCGCCAAAGCGGTGGATAAGCAAAAGCAAAACGCTGACAAGAATGGAAGGGCAAACACTCTTTTATTTAATAAAGGTGACTTAGTCCTACTGTCTACGGCTAATCTACCAAAGCATGTAGTGACAAACTTGGGTAGTAGTAAACTACTACCCAAGTGCATCGGCCCATTTCGTGTATTGCACCGCCTAGGCAATGCATACACGATCAAGTTACCACGTAAGATGCGAACGCATCCCACGTTTTACGTTGATCGGCTTAAGCCGTACCATCGTTACGCTGCTTCTTCCGATGAAGAACGCCCTTGCGCTCAAGCATCTCGCAGAGAGCCTTGTGCTCCCGATGGTGGGCATCGACAAGGGTCTGAAGAGCAGATATCTCATCCCGAGACCGATCAACAATCCCACCATCTACCCGTGGATCATTACGAAGAGACGTCAGAGCTCTCTCGTTCTCAAGCTGAGCAAAGACAAACTCAGCTCGATGCTTCGAGACAGCGTCCGCCAGTTGGAGACGTCTGTCCCGCTCATGTTCGAGATCACCGCGTAACCCTTGCGTTACGCGATCAAAGAAGCTCTCGGTAACACACGCTTTCCCACGATTGTGTGGAGAGCGTCTTCTCTCCTCCTCCACCTCCATTAGAGGACTCTCGCGGTGGCCAGCGCTATCTGGTTGAGCAGCTGTTGAACCACCGCGACGTGAACGGACGTCGGACGAGTTATCTCGTCCGGTGGCGCGGCTATCCCCCGTCCTGGGATACTTGGGAGCCCCGCTCCCAACTGATGGTTGACGTACTGGGTCTGGTCGAGCAGTACGATGCGGCACATCCTGTGCCGCAGAAGGACCGCTGGAGAAAGTCTTCCCGGCACGGTCGTAAAGGGATTTCAGGTTGTCAATCCCTTCGTACATCTCAGTAGAGATACTTACGCGCCACCACGGGCTAGTAAGGAGGTAAGCTTCCTTAGGTGCTCGTGCGGAGTTGTTCACACAACATGGGCACGATTCTCCCCAGGAGAGGCAGGGTAATCCTTTCTCCCATGACAGACGATGCAGCTTGTAGCGTGCACCTGTCGGGGTTCGCTTTTCAAACTTATCACGAGCTTTGATAAGTTTGTCGTTCCAAGCGTCACGACCTACATCCTCAAGGTTATGGATGTAGGCGTTCCACGCTTGAAGCAGTGAGAGACCATCACGTTTGTGATTCCCACTGTACCATCGATGCTTGAAGAAAGCATCGATGAAGAACTCATTCTCAGCGCGATAGTTCTTCGCGCTGGGGTCAAGGTGATGGATCCTTGACGAATCGAACAATCGTATTCGATAGCGATCACTCGTCGTCGCCGACAAGTGATCCATGACGGATTTAGGAGGCAGCCATGCCTTCTTTTCGGGAGCGAGACGCAACGCGTTGCGGTCCCGCTCTTCCTGCGACGTGCCGACAGAAGTACTGGCACCTCGTTGCGAAGTGGTGTCAATAGGAGAACCGACACCACTGTTAGCGCCCGAGTCTCGCGACCTCGAGCGCCTTCACTTCGGCGATGGTTCATCTGATTCATCAGATGAACCAAAGATGCTACGACGCATAGCATCATCCATGCCATGCTTGGCAGGCGGCTTGGATTCAATCTCCGTCGATACGGATCCGTCTTCCGTATCAGGAGAGTATGAGACACCGAGCTCATACTCTGTGAAGACATGAGTGTCTTCATGACCAGCGCCTGCATCACCAGGTGACACAGGCTGAGTCGCTTCAGAAACCGATGAGACATCAGTTGCTGTGGTTTCTGCTTCGGCGTCCGCACAGAGACGTGCGGACGCGCTCTCGGTGGCCTTGCTCGCGCACCGCATGGACTTGTTAACCATGCGATGAACTGTTGGAAAGTGGACTCGGACCAACAAGTGCAAACCCTGTCCCAAATGATTTGGGACGAGTATCCATTTAGTCAATCAGTCACTAAAGTGACTGATGGTTAAGGGGGGGGTGATGTAACGGGGTGAATCGTTACATAACAATTTATAAGAAATTGTTAATAGAATATAACTATAAGAGTTATATTCTCAGAATATTGTCATAAGGACAATATTCTACAGCACTTACAAGTAGTTCCTAATTGGTTGATATAGGCCATTATATCAACCAACGAAGACGCGCCACGACAGACGCACGCAATGAGTGGTGAGCAGATAGTTGATTTACACATTTGTATTTAGACATAGTTAGATGAAGATAAATAGTGATTTATTGCAGACATTAACTATTATAAATACAGTTCTACTTTTTACTTTAACCAAGTACTCGCTTCTTCTTACCGTCTTCCTCTGCACGTACGAGTGTACGTGAAGTTGGGAGGCACCGCCTTATTCTGTCATCATAATAAGTAGCTTGTACTGTCATCAGTACAAGCTTCAGTATGCCCCGTTACACCTGTAGTAAAGGATGCTGAACACATGCCAAGCTTGAGCTTGCCCAATTTAGAAGTCATTGTGTCTCAGCTAGCCCTGCGGAACAATACTGGCATAGAAGAATAGCTTTATGCCGATAAGAATGCGATCTCGTGCAGTGTTTTGAAAGACGCTTATTGAATTATCTCTGTCTACGTTATACATGGTTTGCAAATGATGTAATAGCATTTGACTTCAAGCGCGGAGTGACGCAGCTTTCAAATGCTCACATCTAGGGTATTAGCGAGGGTTCTGGAGCAGCCTACATTATTGCTGACGAGACTAATCACGAATATGTAGGAGAGTGCTGCCTCGTGCTGTGAGCGTACAATTGATCGACTGCGGTGGCTTTGTTGTTGCACGACAATACACATGATAGGATTCCAGCGAGCGTCTTGATTGTAGGAAAAGGGTACCATCGGAGCTATGCTACCCATTTCAGTTTCGTTTCTTCGCCCGCGAAAATCTCCAGTCGAGCAAATTTCATTTCATTCTGCTGCACGACGGTAACCCCTCTCCATTCCACACCTCCTCCAGTCGTACGAATCGCTATCGCAACCACTTATTTCTATTTAGTCATCGCGCAATCTAACCTGTCCTTTGATCTACACCTCAAAGGACTTCGCCATAAATATACCGATATTCCGCCCAGCCACCCCCTGCCAACAACATACCGCATATCCCGTCGTTCAGCCCGTTTATCCTGTCGTTCAGCACCGTTTATCCTGTCGTTCACCCCGTTTATCCTGTCGCACATCACTCGCCATCATCCCGCTGGACCACCCACCCACACCCAGCAGCAGCAGTAGCAGTAGCACAATGTCCTTCTTCGGCTTCGGCAAGAGCAAGGACCCAGCAGCAGAGCCCACAGCCTCTTCCTCCGAGTCGTACTCGTATGAAGAGCCTTCGTACGACTACAGCACGCCGTCGGTTCCTTCATCCTTCGACTCCTCTGCCTCGTCACATTCACTCGGCACGTCCTCGAGTGCGGCGGAGATGCAGCGGGTGATCATGGAGGAACAGCAGCGCGTGCTGATCCAGCAAGCCATCTCCAAGATCACGGCGCTGGCCTGGGACAAGTGCAGCGCCAGTAAACCCGACGCGGAGCTCTCGTCCAAGGAGAAGGACTGCATCAAGAACGTGACGCTGGCGTACTTGGACACGAGTATGTTTGTCGTGCACCGCATCAACAAGTCCAGCAGTGCGTGAGCAGAGCCACTTCCGATAAGGAGGAGGGACGTCAGCTTCTGAATTGGTAAAGAGACCCCTTTCACTAGTGATTGACGAGAGGCAGTTAGTAGCTGCAGCAGTAGTCAAGCCACTAGACCTGAGTATAAAGTCGAGTCGATTCTTCAACCTGCTCCTCCTTCATCCCGTGACCAGCTCCCTCGTTCGTTCGTTCGTTCTCCTTCTCCCGCGTGTCTCCATCTAGTTCTCCTTACCCTCTCTGCTGCTGCTGCTGCTTCTGTACACGAAGAGAGGCACGTTCCCGTACGGTCCCGTGTCGTGGCGCTCGTCCGGGGTCAGATCACGGATCCCCCACGTGTTGCAGATGATCCGCACGTTCTTGTCCGGCTGGTTCAGTAGCTCGATCAACTTGGCCGAGAGCTGCTCCAGTGCTTCAGGCAGGAGGTACGTGACGATAACGGTGGCTTCAGACAGATCCTCGTCCAGCAGGTCGCCATGGGAGACACTCACGAGTTGCTGCAAGTCATTACCAGCGACGAGTCTCCGGAAGCGCTCGACAAGGAACTCCTCGATCTCCACGCCCCGTGCACGAGCTCCGAAGCGCTTGGCAGCTTCGATACAGATCCTACCGTCGCCGCAGCCCAAGTCGAAGAGCACCTACAGGAGTGACACCACGGAAGGAACAAAGCGTGGGTGGTCGAGACCTGATAATCCAGACGTGCAACTGACTGCATGGTAGAAACTACTGGACGTACGTCGTCGGGGGTCAAGCACGCGATCTCAACGATCTTGGCCACGACGTCGCGGTCGCTCTGACAAGGCGGTGCCAGTGAGTCACCTTCGATCCACATGAAGGCGCCAGGGTCCGCTTCCTCCTCGTCACTTGATTGTGTAGCCATTCTAAAGTGGCACGACACCGACAGATGAACGACGGACTAACTGGCCTCACTCGGAAATGAGCTCATTGACAACGACGGTGGGTGGGATGCAGGTCTTTATTTATCCTGTACAATTATGTGTAGTGCAAAATATTACTGGGGTGGTGGTAGTGGGGGGACACGACTTCGAAACAGCTACAACGCGTCAGTTGGCAGCTTCAAGTTCCACGGGCTGTAGCCAGCAGGAGCTCGCTCGCTCACTCACTCACCTATTGATCCGTCGGTATCCATCTCTTACTGCCCTTGTCATCCTTTCTATTGAAGCTTGCATGTACGACGACTGACTTCGCCCATGCCTAACGGTTGAAGCGACGCAAAGAGAGGCGCTCCTGCTCAACAACGAGGTCCCGACTGCTGTCGTGCATCAATTCAGTCTCGTCGTCTGCACTCTCACTATCTTCAGCAACTCGCATCTCCTCGTCGGCTGCTCCATTGTCGACACCTTTACTTGAATCTAATAAAGTACCATGCATCTGGTAAAGCAGCGCTTGGATCGCCATCGCTTCGTCACCGCGTCCCAAGTGTTTGTACGCTTCGAGCACTGTCTTGAGCATGAAACGGCGCTGCAGAACTCGTCGGTGCTCGCCATCCAAAGCGGAGAAATCCTCGAAAAGCATGACAACTTCTTCGTAGCAACCAAGACGAAGGTTGGCTGCCATCCCAACTTCTGTCACTGCAATGCCCAAAGGAATGTCTTTGTTTAAACGCAACGCTCGTACCATGTCGGACACTCGCTTGAGATCGCCGATAAGGCCTAGACGGTAATAGTAAACCACTACCTGCTCCAGTGCTGCGTACTTGATCGACATGCCACTGTCCAGCGCGTACACAAACAAATCGTCGACGATATCCGCACGATCTGCACGAACACCAGCAACTATTGCTTCACATAACACAAATGCATTCCACTCCAATGACTGTGAGTACCGCGTGAAAAAGTCGCGTAGGTCTTTTGCGCACTTCACTTGGAATTGAACGTGCTCGCCTTGTTGCTCGTTGCTGCTGCTCTCATCACCACTCAAAGGTACTGGGTCGATCAGTAGCGCACGCAATAACGGGTAAATGGCATGATGACTAGCGGGAATCTTGTGCTGGTTCATCATTTTCAGGATCTCACACGCGATGTCTAGACACTCGTTGCGAGTGTCAGCCGTAGCAAGTGCAACTCTCTTCCTTAATAGATACTTCGACACCCGCACTTTTAGATCGTGACTTGCTTGTGACGATACCATCAAGTTGCGGTACATCTCCATCAGCATCGCATCTTCTCCCAAATGATGTAGCTGCTGTAAGCAGATCTCGAAACGGAACTCGGTGAAGATCGACATGGGCCTATCTGGCGGGTGACTATAAAACTTCATTGCGCGCTTGGATTCACCACAAGCTGCAGCAGTCATCATTATCATTGGTAGTAGCGACAGCGGCACAGTCTCGCCAGGAAGTTTGGCGCCAATATCCTCGCAGATTTGCATCACTTTCTCGAAGTCAGTGAATCGTTCGTCGTGCAGCAGTGCATTCAGCACGTGAAAGTACGACACCTTCGTTACATTGACACCATGGCGCTCCATCGTTCCAAGCAGTTGCAGTGCTTGGCCGGCCTCGCGCAAATGGCCAAGTGCCACAAAAATGGATTGGGCGAGTCGTGGCGTGAGCAAATGCACGTCTTTCGCGCTCCCTTCACAATCGTTTCGACTTCGATAACAGCTGGAAAACTTGTCCACAACGTCCTGGAACCGTTGTTCATAATTGAGAGCCAAGGCGTAGTGTTCACAAATAACACACCAGTGCTTGCGTTGCCCTGCAAACTGCGGCAACTCTTCCTCATATACAAACGCCACTGCTTCCACTTGCGCGAAGTCCCGTCGCTTTCGCATAGCGTACAGCATGCGATCCAATTTGCCCGTCGCAGCTTTCAACTGCCTCCTGGCTCTCTGGAACCCCGTCTCCCTCGCCACTGCTGCACGAGGGTCTGCCAAACCCCTCGCTAGGTTCTGTAAACTTGCTCTGGCGTTGTCCACGTCTTTCTTGGCCGGGCGTCCGCGAGTAGCGACCAGCGAGAGAAACTCTCCAGCCTCTGCCTCCGCCTGCAGCTTCACCTGTTCCTCAACTCTCGTAGACTGCCCCTTCTGATCCTGCACCACTCGTCTCCTCTTCTCTTCACAGTCCTGTGACTTGATCTCCTTCAACTGCAGCTGTAGATGGAAATTGAGGCTCGAAGGCTCGTCAGGACGGAGCGATCGCCCACCATCGACAAGCGGCTTGGTCCTGACTGCGACATGTCCCTCCTCCTCGTCTTTTTCTTCGTCTCGTACACGCGCTCTGGTCGCACGACTTGGCGCTGGACTTGACTGCCACCGAGTCGTTGCGAGCGATGAGCGCAGCCACAAGGAGCGACGACGCGCAAGCTCCGCCAGCATGATTGGCAGCTGGCTGGCTGCTGCACTTGACCCTCTGGACTGTGTACGTCACATAGGACAAGCGCTCAAAGCTGTCTGCGAGTGGATCGGTATACCGGTATCAAATGGATCGTGACAAAAGTCACGTGGAAACAAAGCACAAGATACAAAATGCAGCAATAAAAAGCAATTGCACTCACGACAAACAGAGGTTTGGTGGGGATACCACTGCCACCAAGTCATGCTTGGACCGAGATCGCGCAGCTTTGCGCTGCTACTGCGGACGCTGCAGCGCTCGCCTGCACCTTCTGCTGCCAGTACCCTCTTGTTTGGATCCCGTAGAATGCCTTGGGGTCAATTGACGCCCCGCTACTCGTCGTTTATGACCCAGAACGGTCCCCGAAAGTCGACGAACAGACCGTCGTTTGCTATTGCAGCGGCGTTTGAGGGCCACGAAGACCTCGAGGACGATGAAGACTTGGATCATTTGTACGGAAATGAGAAGGAAGAGAACAACGAGATGAAGAGCGAGCGTGACCGGTCGCTCAAAGAGCAGTTTCAGCGTGGCATGGACAAGAAGAAGCTCTGGATGCAGTCGCTGGCCTCGCAGAAGCTCTACGCAGCTCTGATCAAGAGCGTTGCGGACTGTTATGCACCTTTGTACGAGTTGATGGGACTGGAGGGGAAGTGTCCACTGTTAGCAGTTGCGACGGACGCAGCCAAGGGCGAGCATGAGCTCGAGACGGAGTTTCAGCCGCAGCGTTTCGACGATCTGCTGACCAAAGCCACGGAGCAGGAAGCTCTGGCGCTATTGGTGATCAACAAGCAGGCACTGCTGGCATTGGCGGTTGTCGAGCATCGGAACAAGCTCGCTGAAGGACTGTCTAGACGTGCGAAGGCAGGAACAGGGGTAGTGCTGCCAGGAATGAGTGTCATGGAGGAAGGAAACGCGGTGGTGCTAGGCAGCCATTTCCGCATGTTCTACTCGTGGGCAGTGAGTGCCTACGCCTCGTGTGGACGGAAGTACTACCCGCAGCTATTTGACATGTACGACCGTGCACGGGATGCTGGTGTGCATGTGACGGCGAACATGAATGTCCAGTATCTCTCTGCATTGATTGCTGAGAGACGATATGACGAGATGTTCGAGTTCTATGAGTCAGTGCTCCGCGAAAGCCAACCTACATCGATGTATTTCTACCGGAACTTGCTGTTTGCAGTATCGGTGACGCATAAAGTAGAGCTGGTGGATTCGATCCTGGAAGACATGCGTGTCAAGGGTTTCAAACTGCGTGTCGAAGACTACTTGCACGGCATTCGGACGTACGACAGGGAGTACTTTCTAAAGAGGGTACAACCAAAAGATAAGCACCGATTGAATCAACGACGACGCAGTGATCGCGAGACGGGAGACAACGAATCAATGTTCGTGACACCCCGAGATACGTACCAGATGTGCATGCAACGGATCCACGAGCAGGAGGAACACCCAGAACGGTTTGAAAAGATCGTTGACGCTGCACAAAGCGTGTTGGGTCTATATGATATGATGGTAGAGGTTGATGGACTCGTCCCACAACACGAGCACTTTTTTCCGCGCGTGATAACAGCAGCTGTGTATGCCCAAGAATGCGAACGCGTGCCGGATCTCTTAGCCCTGCACGCCAGTCGTGCCGACAAGCCTCTCCATTATGCTGGTGTCCGCATGGCCATCAACGCACTTTTGCTTCTGGACAAGCCCAAGGTGGCGTGGGATCTCGTTCGCGAGACGAATCCGTCACTTGAGCCTCACCGGTACGCGTTATTGGGCAACATTTTCGGCTACTATTGCGTGAAGAATCGTGGCGCGGACATTATCAAACTGATGCACGAGACAGCCGAACTAAAGCTGCACGGTGTGTTTACGCTTTCGTTGATCAAAAGCTTAGTACCTGCGCTCTGTTCGAGCATCGACAGCGTTAGTGACGAGGAGTTGATGGAGACCGTGACGCGCTTTGACGACGTGTTCCGCGTGCGCACCAGTGAGCACCATTTTGGTGTATTCCTCCGTGAATGCTGCCACAGTAAGCGTCTCGCAGTGGTGAAAGCTGCTCTGAAGCAGTGGTTAATCACTTCTGAGAACAAAGTGCCGATCAAGGGCACTCTTGCCATCAAGCTCTTGGAAACGTTTGAGAACGAGTCCGACTGGCCGTTCATGGCCGAAGTGTTGGAGCTCACGGACTTTTCTCAGGTGAATAGCGAAGACAACCGCAAGGCCATTGTGAGCGCTGTGTCCCGTGCCTACGAAGCTCTCGGTCAGCCTGAACGCGTGGAGCGGGCCGAGCGCATCTCTTTCGTTGCTGGTCAGCGTCATCAAGTGGGGCATCATCAACAGGGACCAATGAAGCAGCGGTCGAAGTCCCGTGTCAAGCGTCCGAGTGGATCAACAGCATCACCACGTCGCTCAAAGCCGGTGATGATCAACGGCATTCCTGTTGCGTCCTCCTCCTCCTCGTAGTCAACGTTGGGAGCAGTTGAACGAAAGTTACCGAACCAAGTGCTGGGTATCGGATGGTCGAGAACCAGCAAGACGAAAAGCGTTCAGACTGTCGATACTTGGCGAGCGACGACCATCGTACGGCATCTGTGGTGACTAGGCCGAAACCAAGCTCTCGCGAAGTTGACATGGGTACATTGATAGACGACCGCTAAGACGACTTTGTTCAGTAGAACATCAGGTATGCCCGAATGGTTCAGCAAACGGACGCTACGGCTTTGCACACTTGTGTCGCAGCGTAGAAGTTACTTGAACATTGTACGGAAGAGCTGCATCAGTACTCCGTTGTGTCACCAAGGCCGGATATGTGCAGCATATTGAAAGCGTGACACGAATCGATATCACGTCTGAACGCCAGTTCGGGTGCAAACATCTGACGCGAGATTTCCTCGGGAAAAAGGACATTGCTGTGGCACAAGTAGTCTCGTCTCTCGTCTCTTGTCGATTCGATTACGTTCAGTAACGTAACGCCAAAGGTGATTACGACAGCATTTTCCTAGTAGATCGGCACTCATCACTTCATTGGTTCGGGGACACTTTTCGCAGGTTGCAGTAGCGTGTGACCCCCCAAGCAGCAACAGGCCGGTAAAGACAGGCGGTTGGGCTCAAGTATACTCAACTCAAGCTACTACTCCCTCGCGTGGTGCGAAGACGCTGCGCAGAGGAGTTTGTCATTGGACAGGAGCCATGCCATGGAACGGAGCAATCACCGGGTGGGGGACGCCCTTCCCTCGAAAACCCACGCACGGACATATCTGGTCCCTCTCTCTCTCTCTCGCCCGCCGCCACGAAACCCGTTTTCGACATGCATGTACCCTACCGACTCCTCCTCCTGGCTGCTTTTGCCGCCGCATCCGTCTCGGCCAATACTATTGACAACCAGGAGAACCTCGTTGAGTCGGCTCCCATAGTCGGGTCTGCAGACGGTGCAAGCGTCTCCGATGTCACAGAGCGCGAGGAGGAGTTTGCCATTGAACCGCAGCCGACTCGTGCCCCGACAGATGCTCCGACAGAACCTCCCATTGTTGCACCGGCTCCGGACAACTCCGTCACCAATCCCACTGCAGAGGACGCGCCCGTGGAAGCTACGAGTCGTGCGTCTGTGGTGGCCCCCACGGCCTTTGCGTTCGTATCGGCAACCGTCGTCTACTGTATGCTCTAAGCGGCATCTACTCGTCTACCACTCATGTGTAGGCCGCCCTTATTTTCAGTGCGTCACGACGACGACGACGTTGCAAAGAAGAAGAAGAAGAGACCAGCTTTCGATTACAACTCGGAGCGCCTGACTCGTTTCGTATCGTAGTAACCGATCAATCGTTCTTCTCGCCACGCTCCGCTCGTGTGTTTTGCTATTCAATCCGTCACTGGCATCTATCTATCTGCCTCTCGCTTCTTTCCAAAACAAGAAAACCTTGTTACTGTCCCCGCAATGAGTCGCTTGTATTTTGACTACCAGCAGGTCGTTCCACTGTATCCATGTCGGATACCTTGTCAACGACCGCCGACCTATCCAGTCTACAGTAACCAGACCGCAGCGCTTTCGAGCTCGCTCGCGGGTCACAGTGCTTACACCTTTTCAGTCGGTACACTGTACCACTCGCTTCACCCTAAATCGCCCACCACCCACGAGATGCTCCGCTCAAGACCTCGACAGCAGCAGCTTCTGCATCCGTCCCAGCGACGGATCTGGAGCTATGCGTCGGACCTCGTGGCCTGGATGCGTCAAGGCACCCGCAACGAGACTCTGGACGGCCCCATGACCGTCACGGCGCCGCCGTCGCCGTCTGGCAACCGGGACGTTCTGCTGCCTCGTCTGTCCACGAAGCGCGTGCTGAGACCGCAGCTGCCTCCTGACGTTCCGTTTCCGACGTTCCAGCGCTCGGTGGACTCGGACAAGAGAAAAGGCGCCACGTTTGCACTCAGCCACTTCTTGCAGCAGGTCAGACAGGTGCCGACGTCCAAGCAGTTGCTGGAGACGTGGCAGCTCGTCTCGCAATGTCGCCCTTTTGTGCTGCATCCCACGCAGAAAGGAGCTCCTCTCCGAGTCCGACTTGCGTCAGCTGATGACGTGGGTGGAAAAACACAACGCCCTTGGATGCTGCAGCTGGTGCCTGGTGACGTCTTTGCTGAGCTCACAGCCGACACTTCGGCCCGCTCGATGGTGGTGGGGACAACAGGCGCGGGTCTAAAGGATGCGGACGTGGTCGTGACCAATGAGACGTTGGTCCTGGGCAATCTGGTCAAAGCCTTCCATGAGATGAAGGAGCACGGGCTAGCTGTGGCCTTCTTTGAGGCGTACGACCATGACCGAAGTGTCTGGTTGCAGAAATACCATCAAGGAGCAGCTGCTGACGTGGAGGGTGATGACGATGTGATTCAGGACGAAAAAGAAGTTGAAGGCAAGTCCAGGTTGATAGGGAAGAGAAGTTCGATGGAGAGAATCACGCAGCAGCCGCGTGCTGTGTATTCATGCTACCTGCGTTCTCTAGCAGCTTTGAAGCAGTCAAAGAAGATTGTGCGGCTTTTTGAGGAGGACGAGCGCCAGCTTGAGCGGATCTGTAGTACAGTGCCCAACTTGCGTGTGGTTGTTCGTGCGTGCTACAGTGAGAAGAACGGTGAGCTGGCGCGGCGAGCGATTGATACGATCGCTACATTCTCTCCTGCCGCTGTCATTTCGCTGGGTTGCTACGAACTTGCTATCCGAGCTAACTTACGCGACCGCAATCGTGGTGAGCGAGAGTTGCTGTCGGCGGTCCACCTCTCGCGAGCTCTGCATAACGATGGCGGCTACATTCTCAAACCTGACATTTGGTCCGGGCTCATCAAGGTGAGCATGCGTATGGGTCGGCCGGATCTTGCGCTCGAAGTTTTCAAAACTTATCCGCGCCACTACATACCTGAGCATCAAGCCAATTTCCGTCAGGTGCTTCTTACAGCGTGCCGTCACGTAGATTCCACTGTGCTTGAAATGATGCAGTTTCGCTGGGCCAGTCGCGATGGCAAAGCCTCCAGCACGGAGACTTTGCCTGATGAGAGAAAGGTATCGGACGATGGCATTCATCTTGATGGCTCTGGTGTCAGAGGGTCGTCGACTGGAACTGCGGTGGAAGCGGCAAATCTTTCTGCGGCGGACAAGGAAGCTGAAACGGTGCTACTCAACGCTATGCTTTGGCTAATGCTCAATCAGAGCCATGATGTGTCATCGCTCATCCAGGTTATCGACATCATGGAAGCCACTTGCTCGAAAGCTGGTGCAACGGCTTTGCTAAGAACTGTGTCAAGTATGTTTGAGTACGACATGAGCCAAAACAATATGCTGCCTCGTGCTGCAATCGAGAGCTCGCTGAAGTTCTGGACAGCACATTCTTCTGTACTATGTGGCCAGGGTTTTCTGGTGCGCCTGCTACTCGAGAAGTGTGTAGAACATCGGTGGGATGATGAGTGCGAGATGCTGGTGGATCATTTGCTGGACATCGACGTTGCTCGTCTACCGGTCAGCTCAATCACCAAGTTGATGGAAACAAACGAATCCCGCGGGCGCTTTGAGGCCAACGCTCGCATCGGCGACAAGCTCCTGCAGAAACTCTCACTGACGAACCGTCAGAAGCTTCGCGACGGCTTTTACGAGCGCTACCTGATGAGCTGCCTTCGTCTGGAACAATTCGACAAAGTGAGTAAACTGCACGCCAAGTTTAAGCTTGAGAAACGGTACCCTTTCAACGAGGTCATTCGGAAGATTGTTCGGGATGCTGCAGCACGAGAAGGATGAGCATACGAGCGGGGAAGTTGAAGGTGCGAGCGCTTTTGCTCGTGACTCCGACACGGACGTACGCAACAGCGATTACTATAGGAATTTACAATACTGCAGCCTAGATAGACACACGCACCGACGGTCAGCTATGCTCGGTAGTTTTCTGTGCTTAGATAAATATTCGTTCTGCTTTGCTGCACTACTACACACTTGTCAACGGGTTAACTAAAGAGCTAAGCCCTTCCGGCCTTCGTGAAGCACTCACCACTTCTCGCTGTCCGCTTGCTCCAACGCGATGCAGATGAGTACCATAAGTGCCATGTCCACTCCACCCATAACGACGAGAAAGTAGTGGGTATTCAGTTGCCCATTCGACAACGACGAGCTGCACGTGGTAGCAGCAGCAGAACCGGGACTCCCAAAGTAGCGGAAGACGCGGCCAATGGTGACGCGCGAGCCGTGACGGCCTTGCTCCATCCAGATCGAGGCTTGACGTTTGGCCCAATTTCCAGTGAGTCCGATGCGGCACTTTTGACCTGAAATGGGATGCTGGAAATCGACGTTCAGATCAGGTCGTGCCTTGATGGAGAAGAGCTTGGCAGCCGACCCCTTGGCATCAAAGACGTTGTACGTCGGCACCGAAGCCGTGAGCTCGCGCTTGATATGGACCAGCGGGTTGCACCGGGGGTCCCGTAGCGTCTTCATCGCGGATGTCGTGCCTCGAATCCGGAACAGGGCATGGCTCCACTCGGTGTCGCACACGACAAAGTCCTCACCGGTAGGTGGATCCCAGAAACGGTCGCGCAAGCGAAGGGTCGTCACGACTGGAGCCCAGGAGTCCGCTCCAACGAGTGCAAGCTGATAGGCGTCAGGTAGTTTGGGAATGGCAGAAGACGAAGAAGAGGCGCAGCCCATTTGGATGGTGACGGGAACAAGAGCTTTTGACCAGCGAAGAGCTTTGATGGAAATTTGAGAATGGCCGACCTGAGAATAACTGCACATGTTTCTTGACCAGCAAAGACGTCCGTCCGGGTGGGTAGTAACACTGGGTGTGTGAAATAGCTGCTGTTGACAGCATGCTGCAAGACACGATGGACCTGTTTGATTTTCCAGAGACTCCTTCTCTGCAAGGAGATCGCGTTCCTACTTGCACCCCTGTCAGCTCCCGCCCTGATGCGCAACCACCGGGTTCAATTGAATGAAATCCGTCTTGAGTCCCACGCTGCTTCTGGATTTTCCAAAGGGGTTGTCGCGTGTTGTTGGTAGGGTGCAGCTTACGCCCTCGGAAAAAGGGTCATCGGAACATCGACAGGCAAGAAGGGGGTAGCAGCTGCATACAGCGTTTCGTCTTTCGTCACCGCGCGATGGAATGAGCTGCGGATACTGGATACGAATGCCGCAGCGACAAGTCCATTAGCATGCTAATCAATCAGTAGGTGCAGTGTAGACCTCAGATTGTGCTAGTACACTAGACGACATAAAATGCCTCGAATGCTACTGCGACGAGTGATTACCCTCGCTGCACTTGTCCAGCAGACCGATGCAAATAAGGACCATCATCATTTGATCGACGCCGGCGGGCAAGTCCAACAATAGGTGCTGCTCGTCTTTGGTCTTCGGATCCCGGGCCTTGTACGTGAGCCGAGCAATGGTCTGCGGTAGTGCATCGGCCGTCTCGCTTGAGCCACGGGTGAGCCAGAAATTGACTGTGTTGCTATCTTCTCTGAACCCGTCGCAGCCGATCGTGCATTGCTGACTGCTCACTAGGTCGGTGAACTCGGAGTGCACGGTCGTACCATCGACTGTGTACTTGAACGAGCACGGCGTCTCCTCGTGCTCGGTCCGCACGTACACCGAGTAAGTCCGTGCTCGCTTGAACAGACCCAGTCGCAACGTCGCTACCGGTAGCATGTTCCGTGCGTCCAGCAGCGTACGCTCGCGGTGCAATGAGTACTGTTTGTGCTGGACGAAGAAGAGCGTCTCGCGGGTGGAGGCGTCCATGATGGCGCCTATTGTGATGCAGAGTCGGGTTGGCTTGGAGACCACGTGAGCGATATCGAACGCCGCGACAAAGTGGCGCAGCACTACGAGCGTCTGTACTTTAGCGGCGACTGCGTGCATGTCCATGGCTGGAAACGGGACACTTGGTGTGGATTACTACTGTTCTCACCACCAGCTGACGTTCATAGCCGTAGTATTTATTGAGTGAGCTGAACAGTGAATTTATGTACAAACCCTTTGCACCTGAGCACTTCCTTGTCGTCTGTGTGAACTCACTCGGTCAGTAGGCCTAGTGGCGCAGGTGCGTATCGACAGGTACATGCATAAATGGTTGATTAGTGGAAGGCGTTACGACAAGAGACATGCGCTGCTCTTTGACCCGAGTCAATCGGTTCTCTTGCCACGGGTCATCCTTCTACATCATCTCACCTTGCTGCACGTTGTTGTTGCACTCGAACTGTGGCGTATTGGATGTCGTAGCGCACATGATAGAACAAGTACGTTAGTCGACGTCATGTGATATGTTGGATGGTGGCCAAGGGCACAAGCTGCACGCGTCTATGCTGTCGCAGGCAGTGGCGTGCACCGTAATAGGATGCGGAATGCACTACTATCGACACTGCGTACTCGAGCGGTGCAGCCTCGACACTCAGCCGTGGGTCATGGATGCAGGTAGTACTTACTGTTTGCAGATAGCAGATCATCGTGCAACGTGCTCCATCGCACCTCGAACGATCTTCAGCTTGACAGACTGCTTTGCAGTAATGGCGGTCATCACGAACTGGAGATTGGTACTACCGTCATACCTATAGATAGATTGCGATGAACTCGATCGCCGCCATCGCTAGGTGAGTCGTGTCTGTCAATACGCATTCATAGGACACATTGCACGCCGCGGGCGACATGGGCATCGGTAGAGGAAAGAAAGCTTGTCAACCTACAAGCGAGAGGATCACTTGCATGACAAATTGCTTCGAGGACGCCGGGACATGGCACCAACAATGTTCATTATATGTGACAGCCACAGTCCAGCTTCTCAATTTTGCTATCGGGTAGCGAGAGTCTAAACGTTGTTCTTGTTCTTGACCGTCAGGCTCGATTTGATTGTGCCGCTTACGCATTTCCATCTACCTCAGCACGCGTTCAGGTCCAGCAGCGTCTCCAAGACCAAGACGAGTACAAGACCAGACAATGTATCAAGAGTCAAGTAATCGTTCGTCAGGGTCTGCTGGTCTCAAATCGAGAAGAATTTAGCACTGGTACATAATAGTGCACTCGCTTTGCCGATCTCAACCCTGCAGTCAGAAACCCCGACATATGTTCAACTTCAACCTAAGATGCTCTTGGGTGTCTCCCCTCTGTCCATGATGCTGCAGACGAGCTTTTCGCATCCAACTGCGTGTCTTGGCACTCCTCCTAGAGACTCTGAGGCTAAAATTATTGATGCACCCAGCTAACATTCGAGCATGCAACCACGACGACAACAGGTTCAAAGCAAGTCTACGCTTGCTCCTGCTCCAAACAAAGTAGCCGAAATCCACGAGAGTATGAAGGAAGAATTGCGTTGCAAATTGAGAAGTGAGTTCCATCTCGTCGAGCATGACAATCTTAAAGTTTTGTCGTAAAAATGCCGCAGGATCAAGTGTAACTTTCTAAACCGGTACAATCAGCGCGGTATTATTGGTAGCTTCAAATACACCCACATGAGTTGCTGTGCACATCTTCACACCGTTAGAACAGTCCGCCTCAGTCCCGCAAAATCAAAAATGCCACGACAAAAAGCTCTTTCTCCGTCACGATGGGGACCAATTTCATGTTTTGTCAATTATGTGAAATTACGCTGCTTTATGCAAGTTTCGAGATCATTTAAGCTCTTGACACTGCATACTGCCATCCAGCAGCGAATCGGTGAGAGACAGTCGCGTGTCATTCTTGTCAAGTTTCATTATGCTGAAGTCGCTCTTGACCGTGCTGCTGTTGGGGTAAGCTGTAGCGATTTCGACACAAATATCGAGCAGGCGGACTAATCCGCCTTTGACCAGACGCCAGTCCTCCCTGGACGAACTTTTGACTTCACCGCAATCAGCGAGTGCCGCAGCTTGCGCTTTGTTGGTCTGCACGACGGCTTCGGGTTCTCTCGATGCCGGCAATTGACCCTTCATTGCAGCGCGGCTGCAAATGATCGTGGAACCGGCTAACAATCATCCACAAAAAAACGGATTCAAGACGACAGAGCACGTACGGGAGGACTGGAAGCATGTTGTAACGGGGTTAATCGTTACATAACAATTTATAAGAAATTGTTAATTGAATATAATTATAAGAGTTATATTCTCAGAATATTTGTCATAAGGACAAATATTCTGTAGCACTTACGAGTAGTTCCTAATTGGTTGATACAGGCCATTATATCAACCAACGAAGACGCGCCACGACAGACGCACGCAATGAGTGGTGAGCAGATAGTTGATTTACACATTTGTATTTAGACATAGTTAGATGAAGATAAATAGTGATTTATTGCAGACATTAACTATTATAAATACAGTTCTACTTTTTACTTTAACCGAGTACTCGCTTCTCCTTACCGTCTTCCTCTGCACGTACGAGTGTACGTGAAGTTACGAGGCACCTCCTTATTCTGTCATCAGAATAAGTAGCTTGTACTGTTACCAGTACAAGCTTCAGGGTGCCCCGTTACACCTGGTAGCACTTCGTAGTCCATACAAGGACCACGTTCACATCTAACATGAACATGTTGGATGATGAAGATGACCAAAGCTTTCACGCTACGCGTGACGGCTACTCCCATTTGAGCGATGTCGAATGGGATGCGGTTGAACGGATGGGTTCAACCATGGGCATCCATGCTGTTAGCGTCATGCTAGAGGCTCTCAATAGAGATGCCCAACATGCTACTATCGCCAAGTTCATTCAAAATGAACTTGACGCAGAACGCGAGAAAGTAGCCTTGCTTCACCAACAAGGTTCTCAACAACTCTGCTTGTTGAGAGAACAGGGTGCTCAACAGTTTGAACTGTTGAGACAGCAGCAGGCTGCTGCTGGTGGGTCGATGCACTCGCGTCGACCCGAAACCTTGAAGATTGACATCTCCAAGTATAGGGGAGTCGAAGAGGACTCCCTCTTGAGATGGTTCGTCGAATTGGATGACGCCATAAGGGCGCGTCGCATCGACGACGGGGATATGCAAGTTGCATTTGCCCAATCAAATCTGGCAGGACGTGCCAAGACTTGGGCACTGGGGCTCAAGTTGCACGACCCATATGCGTTTGGGTCGTTGGAAGTCTTCAAGTCGCGGCTCAGACAAACGTTTGAACCGCCTAGAGCTGAGTTCAGAGCTCGAACTGAACTCTTGAAGCTCAAGCAAGGTAAGCGTGATGTGCACGCTTACGCGCAACATATACGACATCTCACGAGTTGTATAAGTTCCAACCCGGTTGATGAACACACGTTGGTTTCGGTGTTCATGCAGGGTCTTGCGGATGGTCCCGTCAAGACTCACCTGTTCCGGCTTGAACTAGATTCACTAGAACAAGCCATTTCCATTGCGGAACAGGAAGACTTCAGTCTGAGACAGGCTCGCGCCAGCTCGACATCATATCGTCCACCGAGACGATATGACAGCGGAGGTCCAGAGCCGATGGAACTCTGTTATGTAGAGAGCGAGAAGGCTCGCTCTACAGGCTACAAGAAGTTGCAGAGATGCAACAGATGTCAAAAGACAGGACACTACGCTTACGAGTGTAGTGCCCCTCGTCCAGTGTCTCGCGACACTGGGCGTAGTGACCGTCCACCCATGAGAAAGGGGCAGGGACGAGGGTCCGCTGTTGGTGCAAAGACGCAACAACGGGATGGACCGTCAAAAAACGGACAGGATCAGTAGGTGCGGAGCACCCTACTGATCCAGCAACGTCAAGAGAATTTGTAGGCCTCTTGATGAAGGTTGCTCCCAACACGCAAACGTTGTGCGTTGCTGCTCTAGGTAATGAGGTCTCACGCATTACCTTGAAACTCGAAGTGACAAATAAGTTGTCCCTTCGAGCTCTAGTCGATTGTGGGGCGTCCAACAATTTTGTGCGACGCCAATCGCTAGAAGATGGTCACTTCAAGTTTAGTGAATGTGACACACCTCCTACGAGGATGAAGGTACGTCTTGCGACAGGCGCATCCGTAACCGTCATGAATCGTACAGTGAAGATCCACTATACGCTAGAAGATACCCAATATGACGATGACTATATCGTATTGGATTTGGATGAAAAATTTGATGTCGTCCTTGGAATACCGTGGCTCAGAAGGTACGAACCACGGGTAAACTGGCAACATCGAACAAAAACGATGCCTGCCGCTTGTTCATCATATGGCCATCTGATGAACGTTTTGGAGCGTCCACAAGCGTTTGGATGTACTACGAGTGAGTGCGATGGCCTCACTTGTGGTACGGTCGTTAGTACGACTGCACAAAACCTTAGTGTAACAAACGGTTACACTTCGGAGCAAAGTTCCGGCGACTGTGAGGAAACACAGGCTGCGCCGAAGGTCCGCCACTTGAATAAGTCGAGTGGACTGGGACAAAGATGTATCGCTAGCGGGGGACATCTAGAAGAAAAACAATCGATCGCTCAGGTTAAGCAAAACGATAATCTAGATCGACTGGAGAGTCTTTCGTAGAGGACCTCGCTGTGGTTGCGCAACCCCAGCTAGAGGAAGTAAAGGGAATAAGTCCCAAGATTACAAATACGGCGGAAATAAGTTCCCCGAAACCCGCGGGAATAAGTCCCCGGGAAGCCGAAGGAATAAGTCCTTCGAGGCCTGAGGGAATAAGTCCCCAGGAAATGACAGAGACATTGAATGTCATAGTCAATAACGGATCAAGTGTAGGCGCTTATACACTTGATCTGATTGCGCCTCCGAAGTTGACTTCGGAGATCACTCAGTTGCCAACGCTCGAGCATAAAAGGTTCTTGCGTGATCTGCGTAGTGGCAAAGTCAAGCAGATCTGCGTACTCGTCGCTGACGACGAGTGTGTAGCCGACATAAGGTCAGCAACAGTGTTCACTGAGAACGAGAGAGTTCTCAGTAGTTCATCTATGGACGAGAGTGTCCTAGATGAAAAGACACGAATTGAGCGATATGACTCCCAATCGTGGGAATCGCTCAAGAAAAATCCTCTCTATGAAGATTTGGTTGAATTGAAGGATGTATTCCCTGAAAGTGTTCCGTGCGAATTACCGAAGGATAAAGGTATTCGACACGAGGTCGAGCTTAAACCAGGCTCGAAGTACTGTGTCATAAAGCAGTGGCCACTGCCTCGTGAACAAGTACTTGCCATCGACAAATTCTTTGCCGATAGCTTAGCTGCGGGCCATGTGAGGGAATCAATTTCCCTACATAGCTCTCCGACCTTCTGTGTGCGAAAAGCAACAGGAGGGTGGCGGATAGTGCATGCATTTAACAAGTTGAATGCTGCAACGGTATCGGCTCAGACGCCGATACCAAGGAAGGACGTAATCATTGATGGTATGTCAAAGAGTACCATCTTTTCGTCCATGGATTTGATGGATGGCTTCTATCAAATCCTTATGCGAGAACGGGATATACCCTATACCGCAGTTAGCACGCCTAGCGGCATGCTCTGGGAATGGCTAGTAATGCCACAAGGGCTTAGTAATGCCCCTGCCACGTTCAACAGATGTGTATCACATCTGTTGAGACCAGTACGCGAATTCGCGCCGAGTTATTTCGATGACGTATTCATTCATAGTCGAGCTATGGATGGAAAGTCGGACGTTGAGGTTCACAGGTACCACGTCCGACAGGTTCTTACAATCATGCGAAAGCATCAATTGTACGCTAACCTCAAGAAGTGTATACTTGCAGCAAGCGAAATACCACTTCTTGGGTGCATCGTTGGTAAGAACGGTGTACGTCCTGACCCCGAAAAGATCAAGGCGATCACCGACTGGCCTGTGCCAGTTGATGTCAAAGGTCTTCGAAAATTCCTTGGGCTAGCGGCGTATTTGCATAAGTATTCACACAATTACGCCAAGATGACTGTACACCTCTCTCGTTTGTTGAAAAAGAACGAGAGGTGGTTATGGAACGCTAAGTGTCAGCTCTCCTTTGATGGTATCAAGCAGAGCTTGATACAATCCCCAGTCCTAGCAATTGCCGATCAGGACAGGCCATTTCATGTGGTCTGTGATGCCAGCGATTTTGCAATCGGCTGTGCATTAATGCAGTACGATCTTGAAGGCGTTGAACGCGTCGTCTGCTATCAGTCGCGTCAGCTGCAACCAGCTGAGCGAAACTATTCAGTGCATGACAAGGAACTCCTTGCCATGAAGTATGCACTCGCGAAGTTCAGAGTCTATCTATTAGGAGATAGACCCTTCATTGTTTACACTGACCATGCGTCATAACGCACGGCAGCGAACAGCCCGCACCTTTCACAACGAATGGCGCGGTGGTTGTCATTCTTTGCAGAATACAACTTTACGGTCGAGTACAAACCAGGACGACTCAATGTCGTCGCTGATGCACTCTCACGTCGTCCCGACTCTGAACCAGTCGTAAAACCCAACAGTGGGACAGCCACTGTTGCGGTTATGACGTCCTCAGTACCATATTTAACATTACATGATGATGTGAGGCGAGCGCATGCCCAAGATGGTGAGATTGTGAAGTTGTTGACACATCTCTCACAACCATCTCGAGAATCGTTGAAACGATTGTCGTCTGCGTATCGATCTGCATCAGATCGATACACTACTCGCAACGGGTTACTGTATTATACAGCCGTTTCTGGTGACACACCACGTGTTGTCATTCCAGATGATACTGATCTGCGTCTGCGGATCATGTTCGAGTATCACGATGCTCCTATAGGAGGACATCGTGGACGGGAGAAAACATATCTCACGGTGAGTCGAGACTTTTACTGGCCCCGCCAGTATCAGTTTGTGCGCAAGTACGTTCGCGCATGCGAAGTCTGTCAACGAGTGAAGTCAAGTCCTTCACTGCGTGCACCTTTACAGCCTCTACCGATTCCGGCTGAGTGCTGGGAATCCATCTCAATGGACTTCGTCTTCGGGTTACCCAAAGACGCACGCGGGAATACGAGTATTCTCGTATTTGTTGACAGATTCAGCAAAATGGTACACCTCGTGGCTGTACCAGAGTCAATCACGGCAAGTGGCTGTGCTTGTGTCTTTATTGACACCATCTTCCGACTTCATGGGTTGCCCCGTGAACTCGTATCAGATAGAGATCCACGCTATACTGCTGATTTCTGGCGTTCCGTGCTCAAATCACTCGGAACGCGCTTGAAGATGTCGACATCTGATCATCCAGAGTCAGATGGTCAGACGGAACGTGCCAATCGTGTCCTCGAAGAGATACTTCGAGGATACGTACACTCCTTTAAGAGTTGGAGTGAGTTTTTGCCAACGGTAGAGTTTGCCATCAACAACTCGGTGCATGCGTCCACGACACATACACCGTTTTACGTGAATGGCTTGCGCCATCCGCGTGTACCCACCTTACTAGATTGTAACTCTGGTTTAAGGGGGGGAGGGACTCGCGCGAGCAAAAACCGATTTGGTTCACGCTCATCACGCTCTGACGAAGAAGTCATTGCGTTTGATGCCGATATCGATAACATCGATATCGAAGAAGATGATGCCAGTGAGAGTGCGGAAGCCCTCACTGAAGTAGATGATCCCAGTGAGAGTGCGGAAGCCCTCACTGAAGAAAAGATTGATGTTGCTGCAGTGCGCTCACAGCACACTGAAGCTAACGAGTCGTCAGATGAGTTCATACTGGCTCGTGAAACGGTAGTCCGTTTTGTGCAAGACTCCATCGCCGAAGCGGTGGATAAGCAAAAGCAAAACGCTGACAAGAATGGAAGGGCAAACACTCTTTTATTTAATAAAGGTGACTTAGTCCTACTGTCTACGGTTAATCTACCAAAGCATGTAGTGACTAACTTGGGTAGCAGTAAACTACTACCCAAGTACATCGGTCCGTTTCGTGTATTGCACCGCCTAGGCAATGCATACACGATCGAGTTGCCACGTAAGATGCGAACGCATCCCAAGTTTTACGTTGGTCGGCTTAAGCCGTACCATCAGTACGCTGCTTCTTCCGATGAAGAACGCCCTTGCGCTCAAGCATCTCGCAGAGAGCCTTGTGCTCCCGATGGTGGATATCAACAAAGGTCTGAAGAGCAGTTATCTCATCTCGAGACCGATCAACAATCCCACGAGCTACCCTTAGCTCGTCACGGAGAGATGTCAGAGCTCTCTCGTTCTCAAGCTGAGCAAAGGCAAACTCAGCTCGATGCATCGAGACAGTGTCCGCCATTTGGAGACGCCTGTCCCGCTCATGTTCGAGATCACCGCGTAACGCAAGCGTTACGCGATCAAAGAGGCTCTTGGGAACACACGGATCCCCACGATCGTGTGGAGAGCGTCTTTCCTCCTCCTCCACCTCCATTAGAGGACTCTCGCGGTGGCCAGCGCTATCTAGTTGAGCAGCTGTTGAACCACCGCGACGTGAACGGACGTCGGACGAGTTATCTCGTCCGGTGGCGCGGCTATCCCCCGTCCTGGGATACTTGGGAGTCCCGCTCCCAACTGATGATCGACGTACTGGGTCTGGTTGAGCAGTACGACGCGGCACATCCTGTGCCGCAGAAGGACCGCCGGAGAAAGTCTTCCCGGCACGGTCGTAAAGGGATTTCAGGTTGTCAATCCCTTCGTACATCTCAGTAGAGATACGTACGCGCCACCACGGGTTAGTAAGGAGGTAAGCCTCCTTAGGTGCTCGTGCAGAGTTGTTCACACAACATGGGCACGAGTCTCCCCAAGAGAGGCAGGGTAATCCTTTCTCCCTTGACAGACGATGCAGCTTGTAGCGTGCACCTGTCGGGGTTCGCTTTTCAAACTTATCACGAGATTTGATAAGTTTGTCGTTCCAAGCGTCACGACCTACATCCTCAAGGTTATGGATGTAGGCGTTCCACGCTTGAAGTAGTGAGGGACCATCACGCTTTTGATTCCCACTGTACCATCGATATCTAAAGAAAGCATCGATGAAGAATTCATTCTCAGCGCGATAGTTTTTCGCGCTGGGGTCAAGGTGATGGATCCTTGACGAATCGAACAACCGTGTTCGATAACGATCACTCGTCGTCGCCGACAAGTGATCCATGACAGATTTGGGAGGCATCCATGCCTTCTTCTCGGGAGCGAGACGCAAGACATTGCGGTCCCGCTCTTCCTGCGATGTGCCGACAGAAGTACTGGCACCTCGTTGCGAAGTGGTGTCCATAGGAGAACCAACACCACTGTTAGCGCCCGAGTCTCGCGACCTCGAGCGCCTTCGCTTCGGCGATGGTTCATCTGATTCATCAGATAAAGCAAAGATGCTACGACGCATAGCATCATCCATGCCACGCTTGGCAGGCGGCTTGGATTCAATCGCCGTCGATACGGATCCGTCATCCGTATCAGGAGAGTACGAGACACCGAGCTCATACTCTGTGAAGACATGAGTGTCTTCATGACCAGCGCCTGCATCACCAAGTGACACAGGCTGGGTCGCTTCAGCAACCGATGAGACATCAGTTGCTGTTGTTTTCTGCTTCGGCGTCCGCACAGAGACGTGCGGACGCGCTCTCGGCGGCCTTGCTCGCGCATCGCATGGGCTTGTTAACCATGCGATGAGATGTTGGAAAGTGGACGCGGACCAACAAGTGCAAACCCTGTCCCAAATGATTTGGGACGAGTATCCATTTAGTCAATCAGTCACTAAAGTGACGGATGGTTAAGGGGGGGGGTGATGTAACGGGGTGAACCATTGCATAACGATTTATAAGAAATTGTCAATAGAATATAATTATAAGAGTTATATTCTCAGAATATTTGTCATAAGGACAAATATTCTGTAGCACTTACGAGTAGTTCCTAATTGGTCGATAAAGGCCATTATATCAACCAACGAAGACGCGCCACGACAGACGCACGCAATGAGTGGTGAGCAGATAGTTGATTTACACATTTGTATTTAGACATAGTTAGATGAAGATAAATAGTGATTTATTGCAGACATTAACTATTATAAATACAGTTCTACTTTTTACTTTAACCAAGTACTCGCTTCTTCTTACCGTCTTCCTCTGCACGTACGAGTGTACGTGAAGTTCCGAGGCACCTCCTTATTCTGTCATCAGAATAAATAGCTTGTACTGTTACCAGTACAAGCTTCAGGGTGCCCCGTTACACATGTCGCCATCATCCATGTTGCCTTTATAACGCTGTGATTCGATTTCTCAAGGATTGCCGATGATAGCGATGATGTTTAAGATCAGGGTAATGGGCAACGAGCAGTCGATGTGCAGCACGACAGGCCGAATGAAACGGCGTTGGCGCCTTTTAGTTATGCGTGGAAAACGAAACCAAGTGTCAGGATGGGTGTAGAAGAAGTCGAATCTACGAACGACGATAAAGAAGGTCGGCCAAGTAAAACGAGGATACAGAGACCTAGTATGCATGATAGCGACCTAACAGCTGGTGCGGATCAATACAGTTTGAAAATCAGTTTACTTTAAATTTGGCCAAGAGCAAATGGCCGATACCGGCTAACAGATTATTGCGAACAAAATTTCAATTGGACATCGAATTGGGCAGCTAGATCAACCCTTTTGAACAGCTCGGTCACCTAGGTAGAAAACGTATCATTATATTATAAAAGGGTTGCTTCTACCTGAAGATTAAGTGTATATCCTGAAAACGAAATGGCAAATATAAAGCAAATGACGCAGCGCAAATCGAAATTTGAACGATAAAGTGGATAGCAGAGGCTCCATATCAGACGAAGGTGTAGTACTTAAGCGGAACGCTTGGGTATTCCATGTTAAAGTACAACGGCAACTCGAATGGCTCGAAAATACAAGGCATACTGGAATGTCTTGGAGCCATTCCGCAAGAGAAACAGCATCTTAAATAACTTTAAAAGACGAGAAAATTCTTGAAAATCTCGAAGTTATGTCGCAAAGAAAATCTGCAAGTTGAATAGCTTGAAAGACTGGGAAAATCCTCGAATATCTAGAAGTTATTCCGCGAGATGATGGTAGGGATCTATGGCAAATTCGCGATGCTGTTCATCACTGAAAGCAAGAGGCATAGCCTTGATTCGAATGTTGTCCTTCCTTCGCGGGTGCGTCATCGTCTTAAATAAGAACGCTGAAGATGAAGACTAACCGTGGTTAGACATTGACGCAAGACACCCATAAATTGTAGAGCAGGGGAGTCAAAAATCGCCTTGTTGCTATTGAGCCAATGTAACGGGGTGAATCGTTACATAACAATTTATAAGAAATTGTTAATAGAATATAACTACAAGAGTTATATTCTCAGAATATTTGTCATAAGGACAAATGTTCTGTAGCACTTACGAGTAGTTCCGAATTGGTTGATAAAGGCCATTATATCAACCAACGAAGACGCGCCACGACAGACGCACGCAATGAGTGGTGAGCAGATAGTTGATTTACACATTTGTATTTAGACATAGTTAGATGAAGATAAATAGTGATTTATTGCAGACATTAACTATTATAAATACAGTTCTACTTTTTACTTTAACCAAGTACTCGCTTCTTCTTACCGTCTTCCTCTGCACGTACGAGTGTACGTGAAGTTCCGAGGCACCTCCTTATTCTGTCATCAGAATAAATAGCTTGTACTGTTACCAGTACAAGCTTCAGGGTGCCCCGTTACACATGTCGCCATCATCCATGTTGCCTTTATAACGCTGTGATTCGATTTCTCAAGGATTGCCGATGATAGCGATGATGTTTAAGATCAGGGTAATGGGCAACGAGCAGTCGATGTGCAGCACGACAGGCCGAATGAAACGGCGTTGGCGCCTTTTAGTTATGCGTGGAAAACGAAACCAAGTGTCAGGATGGGTGTAGAAGAAGTCGAATCTACGAACGACGATAAAGAAGGTCGGCCAAGTAAAACGAGGATACAGAGACCTAGTATGCATGATAGCGACCTAACAGCTGGTGCGGATCAATACAGTTTGAAAATCAGTTTACTTTAAATTTGGCCAAGAGCAAATGGCCGATACCGGCTAACAGATTATTGCGAACAAAATTTCAATTGGACATCGAATTGGGGCAGCTAGATCAACCCTTTTGAACAGCTCGGTCACCTAGGTAGAAAACGTATCATTATATTATAAAAGGGTTGCTTCTACCTGAAGATTAAGTGTATATCCTGAAAACGAAATGGCAAATATAAAGCAAATGACGCAGCGCAAATCGAAATTTGAACGATAAAGTGGATAGCAGAGGCTCCATATCAGACGAAGGTGTAGTACTTAAGCGGAACGCTTGGGTATTCCATGTTAAAGTACAACGGCAACTCGAATGGCTCGAAAATACAAGGCATACTGGAATGTCTTGGAGCCATTCCGCAAGAGAAAACAGCATCTTAAATAACTTTAAAAGACGAGAAAATTCTTGAAAATCTCGAAGTTATGTCGCAAAGAAAATCTGCAAGTTGAATAGCTTGAAAGACTGGGAAAATCCTCGAATATCTAGAAGTTATTCCGCGAGATGATGGTAGGGATCTATGGCAAATTCGCGATGCTGTTCATCACTGAAAGCAAGAGGCATAGCCTTGATTCGAATGTTGTCCTTCCTTCGCGGGTGCGTCATCGTCTTAAATAAGAACGCTGAAGATGAAGACTAACCGTGGTTAGACATTGACGTAAGACACCCATAAATTGTAGAGCAGGGGAGTCAAAAATCGCCTTGTTGCTATTGAGCCAATGTAACGGGGTGAATCGTTACATAACAATTTATAAGAAATTGTTAATAGAATATAATTATAAGAGTTATATTCTCAGAATATTTGTCATAAGGACAAATG